GAACTGGCCCCACTGTCTCAGCGTCTGCAAATTATTCTCAGGCCTAGCCTCTCCCACTAGTAATTCCCACAGTGTATAATGGTCAATGTACCACCCACAGGATGGGTATGGGGTGCATAATAAAGAAAGAAAAAATAACTCAAGGTAACTCAAGACAACTGAACTCATCACGTCTTATAACTAAATTGCAGAGATGAGAGACACAGAAACACAGCATATATAACAAATCGAATAATGAAAAGAAGAGCAATACAAGCTACGATAATAGCCTCTACCACAAATTTTAAATTAACTGACTTTAGCTTCATAAATTTAAAATCTTCACAGTACTTATCAAGCACTCTCTTGAACTGTCACAAAAACAAGGAATGAGGCTGCCCTCAAATAATAATACTTCAGAAGCTTGCTCCTCACTTGGCATGAACTTTAAATCAAACCTGCAATTTGCCATAAATGAATAATAATAATAATAATAATAATGTACCATCAGACATATGCGCAAATAAGTCACTATCCAATAAAATATTAATACACAAACCTTAAACTATTCTAGGGAACACTACTACTTCAAAAGAGAATGGGGCGGGAAATGTTTAATAACCAAACAGGTGTCGTCGCGGGCGAGGGGGAATATCGTATCTGTTCCCCCCCACCCGGTCCCGAGGCCCGTGTTACTGCTGCGCTCACTGGCGCGGACCTTCCTTGCAAGCTTGGTTATACGGGCTCACCATAGCCCGTGCTACTTGTCACTTTTTGTTCCGGGTAGCGAATCTTTAACAACAACAACAACATTGCAAGCTTGGAGTAATCCAGGATACTTGTCGATGACTCTAGGTGCACTAGCGACGCGGTCAGTGACCCCAGGCCACACACCGTGCCTGGTCACTGGAGTATGTTGAGTGGCTCGCCCTGAGACTACCACTATTATCACTTCACTGGAACCGTTCCTGTTCGCTCTTGGGCTACTGCACTACACATTACGCAATTGCAAATGTCAGTGGAGAAAAACAGTTGGCACCTCACTGCTCAGACGAAATGTCCCCTGGTGCAGTAGACACCCACACTGCACTACTTTGCTCGCACTCTCACAGGGTCATCACAATTGCAGGATGATCTTGCATACTTCGTCTCGCTGAACTGCTCACAACAGTATCTAACACATGAGAATCAATACTGGGCCTGCAGGGACAGCGGCCACCACCATCTGCAGGTTTAGTTTCATGTTATTATACAGAGAGGGTGAAGATGATGGGGGAAGGTGGAGAAGAATGAGAGTAAATAGAGAAGAGTGAGGAGAGGAGAAGGATGTGAAGGAGGAGAGAAGAATGATGAAAAGGACGAGGAGAGTAGGAGAAGGATAAAGAGAGGAAGAGAAAGTAAGTGAGGAGAATGAGATGAGGAAGATAGAAAATAAATTTTCATTTTTATTAACATTAATAATTATTACTTTATTGATAAAGTATTACTACATTATTGATAAAGTAATCATAACAATAATAATATCACGAAGTATTCGTGTTACTTCGGAAAATAATAAGTCAAACTAAGAACCACACCACGTGGATGACATCATTAGTACCCCTCCTACCCTCCCCCCTTTTCCCTCTTTTGACCCCTAACCACTCCCCACCCTCTCAGTGTCTCCTCCTCCTCCCCCTCCTACCCTCTCCAACCCCCCAACCATCACCACCAACATCACCCATCACTCGATACAGGAAACCTGCCAGAAAGCTGGAAAGTAGCCAAGACCGTGTCATTAAACAAGAAGGGAGACAGACAGGAGTCACTAACTTACCATACGAGTGGTATACAGACAGGTGCAAACACAGATCCCAAAATATGTGCCACAGAGACACTTAAATAATACAATTTTAAAATCAGTGTCAGTGTATTGAACAAATGGAATGCATTAAGAAGGGGAGTGTCAAAGGTAGACTCTGCACACAGTGTCAAATTAGATATGAGATTTTTAAATTGGGAACCTGCGCACCAGTTGACTGAAGGTTCAGAGGCGGGGCCACAGAGTTAAAGCTCAGTCCTACAAAAGCTTGGTGATTCATTTTGATAATTAATTATTCAGTCTCCGCGAGCGCAATTAGGTCCATGAGCCAAACCCAAGCCCGTTAATAATTCATTCAAAATGGTTTCCGTTACTCCCCCCCCCCCCCAAGATGACCTTACAGCCCCTCACCCCCTCTCATCACCCCTCCCCCCCCCCTTCCCCTTCCCTGCACCCTCTCACCCCCCCTTTCCCCTCGTCTGTAACTTAGGTTCTCTTCCCTATAGTCCCCGTGTACCTGCTCTTGCCTCACCTAGGTAGGCAAGAGATGGAAACCCCGCCCCACAGTACATAATTCCCAGATGAAATACTGACCAGAAATCCTTCCCCCAATAATTGGCAAAATTGAGTATGTATGTGTGTGTATAGTTGTATGTATGCATGTGTATACGGGTATAGGTGTATGTGTGAATAACTCAATAAATAATAATAATAATAAAGAGCCTTAAACAGAACATGTGTGGAAGCATCGGAGTGTTTATATATGAATGCTACACAGTATTCATCTATAGACATCCAGATATGGTGAAACACATGTGAAGAACCTCTCACTCACTCACAGCTCCCTGACAAGAGGGAGCCAGCTTAGCTTGCTCTCATCGCTTGCGTAACTGCTTCGCCCCAGGCTCGTCTTCCTTTACGCTTTGGCCGCCTTGCCTACTGGGGGGGAAAAGGGGTAATAGATACGTATTGATTTTCTCCGGGAAAATTGTCTTGACACATTGTTAGGGGTTTTGTTGACATTAAGTCGTCATGGGAACACAGCTTCCCGCCCGCGCTTCAGGGAGCCGCCATCTCTCTCTCCTGGCACATTATTGACGGTAACCCGGGACAGGGGCGGTAAAGAGGCAAGTCTAAGGGTTCGATACCCCAGAGGTAGAAGAGAGGGAAGGGAAGGGAACTATTAGAAGACAGCCCCAAGCCATTACGACTATATAGCACTGGATATGCTGGTTAGCATTGTAAATTTGTGGCCACGTCTGCGGTAGAAAATAATAAAAATAAAAAAAAAGCTGGATAAAGATATAGAACTCGATAAGGATTAGGGATATAGACGGAAGTATAATGAATTTATGGAAGTAGATGGAGATAGAAGGGTGGATAGAGGTGGAAGAAGGGTGAAAGGAGGGATAGAGATGGGAAGGTAAAGCATACGGGGTAGGAGAGAATGGATAGACATGGAAAGTGAGGAATAGAGAAGGAGAAGGAGAGGGTGGCCAGATTGGAAACTGGAGAGAGAGAGAAAGAAAGAGAGAGGGAGAGATGTAAGGGTGAAAGAGAGAACGGCCAAATGAAAGGAAGATGGCTGTTGCCTGTTCACGGATGACGGGGGAACTGACTCTTGCCTGGATGTAGATTCAGCTACTGGGAACAAAAAGTTGCAAGTAGCACGGGCTATGGTGAGCCCCTAGTGGACTTACCTGGCACAGGAGCGGGGCTGTAACTTGCCTGGCAACAGATGGTGAGTAAATACTTCTAGGTGACTTGGCGAAGGACAGGTGTAATTAAGGAGGAGATAAATTACCTGAGGAATAATCTTAATTATGCCAGGTAAGTTTATATTTATATAAGCACCACACAATGTGACCTCTCGCTTATTATTATATATATATATATATATATATATATATATATATATATATATATATATATATATATATATATATATATATATATAACTGAAAACTCACACCCCAGAAGTGACTCGAACCCATACTCCCAGGAGCAACGCAACTGGTATGTACAAGACGCCTTAATCCACTTGACCATCACGACCGGACATAATGAGGTGATAGCCGAGGCTATTTGAACCACCCCACCGCCGGCACTCGGATAGTAATCTTGGGCATAGCATTTTACCAAATCACCTCATTCAAAATGCTATGCCCAAGATTACTATCCGAGTGCCGGCGGTGGGGTGGTTCAAATAGCCTCGGCTATCACCTCATTATGTCCGGTCGTGATGGTCAAGTGGATTAAGGCGTCTTGTACATACCAGTTGCGTTGCTCCTGGGAGTATGGGTTCGAGTCACTTCTGGGGTGTGAGTTTTCAGTTGCATATTGTCCTGGGACCATTCAGGCTTGTTCGCATATATATATATATATATATATATATATATATATATATATATATATATATATATATATATATATATATATATATATATATATATATATATATATATAATAAATCTTTGGAGCAGGACAGGGGGATCGAACTAGCGTTATGTAAAGTTTACAAATCGTGGTCCATGGGTTAAGGCTGGCGTCTGGGGTGACACGGGACCTGCCAGTTCGATCCTGCCGTCCCGCTACAAATATTTTCAATATATACACTGCTCGCGTTTTTATATTTAGGTTAAACTACGATTATTCCAAAATATTACCAGAAGTAGGTTGTGAATGGCTACAAAGAATGCCACAGGTACCTTATATCTCCACGCTAAAGTGTTGGAACAGAAACTAGTAGCTCTAGTATTATTGGAACAAGGAACAAGTTCCAATAATATTGGAACATTGGAACAAGGTATAGTGTTGACGTCCAACACGGCTATATCTGTAGTATTTATGCTGCTTTCTTAAATGAAAAGACTTTCATTTTGGTCGACGTCGGCGACGTGTTTACCTCCACCCTGGAGTCAACTGGTGTTTGCCAAGGTAGATACACATGTTTGGTCACACACGCCAAACCAACTACCAGGATTATCAAGAATCTGTGAACTTATTAATGAATTTCTCCCTCTGCTGGACACTGAACTGTGGCTAAGGTCATTTTAATAAAGCAACTGTCTTTATTTGGTCTCCAACCCTCGCCCAGTGGTGGCGGAGCGGCGGCCTCGGCCCCGTCACACTTGTGGACATTTACACTTATAATTTACATGAGTAAATAGGAAGAGCCTGTTTGGCCTGCTGTTGTAGGGTGATGATACGGTAACTGTCACTATTGACTTAGTTCTGGTTGTTGGCTCTCAGCTTCAGCTCTTATCTTGACCCGACTCTCAGCTTCAGCTCTTATGTTGACCCGACTCTCAGCTTCAGCTCTCATGTTGACCCGACTCTCAGCTTCAGCTCTTATGTTGACCCGACTCTCAGCTTCAGCTCTTATGTTGACCCGACTCTCAGCTTCAGTTCTTATGTTGACCCGACTCTCAGCTTCAGCTCTTATGTTGACCCGACTCTCAGCTTCAGCTCTTATGTTGACCCGACTCTCAGCTTCAGTTCTTATGTTGACCCGACTCTCAGCTTCAGCTCTTATGTTGACCCGACTCTCAGCTTCAGCTCTTATGTTGACCCGACTCTCAGCTTCAGCTCTTATGTTGACCCGACTCTCAGCTTCAGCTCTTATGTTGACCCGACTCTCAGCTTCAGTTCTTATGTGACCCGACTCTCAGCTTCAGCTCTTATGTTGACCCGACTCTCAGCTTCAGCTCTTATGTGACCCGACTCTCAGCTTCAGCTCTTAAGTCCCACCTCTCAGCTTTCAATTGATGACTGAACGTCGAGCACTGTAGTGCAGTGCTCAACGTCCTCGACTCACAATCGGGGATCGCGGGTTCGATCCCCAGGCGGGATAGAAATAGGAGGTAGATAACCTGGAGTTAGGCAACTGTTGTGGGTTGTATCCGTAGGGGGAAGGTCAGTAGTTCGACCTAGCGGGAGACCCAGACACTTGTGTCACTCCCCCGCGATGAGTAACGCTGCCCAGTCAACTCTCCCGACAGGGGCAAGCTTCAATAAATTTCAAATGAGAGGTCATGAGGGCCGGTGAGGCGGGGCAGAGCGTGAGGTCATGAGGGTCGGTGAGGCGGGGCAGGGCGTGAGGTCATGAGGGCCGGTGAGGCGGGGCAGGGCGTGAGGTCATGAGGTCCGGTGAGGTGGGGCAGGGCGTGAGGTCATGAGGGCCGGTGAGGCGGGGCAGAGCGTGAGGTCATGAGGTCCGGTGAGGCGGGGCAGGGCGTGAGGTCATGAGGGCCGGTGAGGCGGGGCAGGGCGTGAGGTCATGAGGGCCGGTGAGGCGGGGCAGGGCGTGAGGTCATGAGGGCCGGTGAGGCGGGGCAGGGCGTGAGGTCATGAGGTCCGGTGAGGCGGGGCAGAGCGTGAGGTCATGAGGACTTGAGCGGGTCGTAAAGATGGCCGCCTGACGCAAGACTCACTCGCCGGGTACCAGACCCGCTACTTATCTCCCGGGAAGCCCTCGTCTTAATGGTGCGGCGTTAACCCAACACTGTCCCGAGACCAGCTTCTGGGCTGCCTAGATACAGTATATATATATATATATATATATATATATATATATATATATATATATATATATATATATATATATATATATATATATATATATATATATATATATATATATATATATATATATAGAAATAGGAAAGGGAGGTGAACGTTTCGGCAGATCAAAACCGGTGTCAACACCAGCCAGACTAAGAGAAAGAAAGGAAGGATGGAGGCCAATAACTGGAACCTGACCACCTATCCCCCAGGGAAAGAATTACCCACAATCAGGTATAGATTAACTTAGAATAGTCAGAAGGATTAAGCAGTCTGAGAATAAACATGAAAGAATAAACAAAAGCCTCATTAAACAAACACATAATATATGATTATAATATGATTATGAGACATTGTAACTCTCCCTATCAAAGTTTTACCTTAAAGTGTTGTCCAATATTGTAACTTATAGTTTACCTTACTGTGGGTGTTACATTACGTTATGTTACGAGGATGGTAACGAAGTTTACCAGCCTCGAGGTAAACTCAGGAGCTGGAGCCCCTAGGGGCAATTCGTTGTTGCCTTCAACCTCGGTCTGACAGTTCCTGCGACGGCGCTGGAACCAATCGCATTGACGTTTCCCCTTTATTAGAGACGTTTGGCGCCGTGGAGAGGGGGGGGGGGACTTGCTGCATGGGTGACAGCTTCTTCCCCGTATCTACCTACCGTGGCTTTGCGTCCTGGAGAGGTCACTTCTGACCGACAACCAGAGCGTAACTCCATAGTCTCCTGAGACTGATGGATGCCTACTACTAGTCCATCGTTAAGTTCTGCTGTCACTACTGCTACGTGTGGGAGGATGCAGCTAGCTGTACGTGACCCATTGACCCTATCACAGCTGGCCATGAAGGACTAGTAGGCTGGACAACAAGAGATAGACCTACTTTCTGGCCGTAGTCGATGAAAGCACGGCTATTCCTGATTCCTATTCTCCTCCTGTTCCATCTCTCTATTCCTCCTGCTTCCTATTCTCTTCCTCTTACTCCTCCTCCTCTTGCTCTCGCTTCCCCTCCTTCTCCCTCTACTCCTCCTTCACCCTCTACTCCTGGCCTATTCCCCCACAAGGGACCTGTGGGTGTGTGTGTGTGGGAGAGGGGTGAGGCGCCGGTGACCAGTATGAGGCTGCACCCTCTAGGGCGCCTCACCTCGTCCCTCTGCCTGTATTGTGTCTGTGACCCGCTCCTCCTACGGTCTCCACCTCCTTCATCATCGTCCACTTTCCCCGCCTCAGCGCGGGCGTGTCAGTGCCACCCATCACTGAAACCTTTCTGTTTATTGCGTCGTTACGGTATTTTTTGGCGCCTTATACACAAATGTTTTCATTGAAAGAATATAATTTTGTTGGTAAATGCTGTCATCAGAGACAACAATGGAGCAACAAAAACAGCCAATATTGCAATATTCCAGAGTGAATAGTTGGGGTCTTGGATATAGCAAAGGTAAATCAAAATACAATGTATCAGTATATAAGCCGCCCACGCGAGGAGTGGGAGGTGGCTGGGTGGAGTTCAGGGCTGCATGACCTCTCCAGGGCAGGACCCGTCGAGGTAGGGTCTCCCCAGGGCAGGACCCGTCGAGGTAGGGTCTCCCCAGGACAGGACCTATCGAGGTAGGGTCTCCAAGGGGCAGGGTGGGGTGGCAAGTCTGCCCGGGACAGGACTTGTCAAGGTGACTGCGACTTGGAAAACCCGATCAGAGAAAGAGACCCGCGTCTAGAGCGACACAATGGTTATCAATAAAGGTTACGGGGAAAAAAAGTTTGTAATGAAGAAATTTAGCGTATCCTAGTGCTAATAACTATGCTCACAACCTATATTGGTCGAGTGTTTGGTAATTAATGTAATAGGTGGAACGTGGATGGTGCTTAAAACTCACAGCTCCGAACGGAGGTCGATCTTGGTGGCCGTGACTACCTAGGAGCTTATCTACAAAAGTATTATAAGAAGGCCAGGTAGTAAATCATTATTGTTTACAGATGAGGTAGACCAGCGGAGCCACCCTGTTACCTGGGGGGTAGAAATAGCCTAAGCTACTCTATCCCTTTGAGATGTATTTCTTTCTTATCTCAATAAACATACTTGAACTTGAACTTGAACCTTGTCACCTCCCATAACATGGACTTGCCCTGAGGGCGTCTGGTAATTAGGATATTAGTTACAAACTGGTTACAGGTATCCTAGCGTGATATAATTAATAATTGATGATAATAAGCAAGTTGAAAGGCCCTTGGTTGTGTCATATTTCACAGAGAATTTCTTTACAAACAGATCCTTCTGAGGCAGCGTGGGGGTGGCAAGTTCACCCAGAGAAGGGCTATTAAAAAAAATAAAAGTCCCAGGGTTGCCAGATCCAAATTGCTGAAAGTAGCGAGCTGATGGTCTAAAAGTAGCAAATTTGTAATAAGAGTAGCCCAATTTTTTATTTATTTTTATACGGGTTTCAAAGTAATATATTTTTATATAATTGATAAATTTCTAGATAACTTTCTCTCCTTAATGTAGATCTGTGAAACGAGCTGTAGCTTTTGGGATGAAGTATTAATGACAATTAAGATTAGAAAATCTATCGCCCCAGGGGAGGATTATCTTTCCTTGTGGATTTGTTCCTTGCGGTTATTGTTTCTTTGGAAGGTTCTTAGGATCAACGTCCCCAGGGGGCGGCCTCCTGCGGTAAGTGGTCTAGTCAATCAGGCTGTTGGACTTGGCTGTGAGTTGTACACATTACATTATAAAAGCATAAATAATCATTGAGTTTAACATAAATAGCCCAAATTAGCCCAACTTACTTTTTAAATTAGCCCATAAAGTCGCAAGTAGCGAAATTAAACATTTGGGAGCGTAAGGCTCTCAAAGGTAGCCCAATTCGCTACGTGTAGCCCAATCTGGCAACGCTGTTTTAAAGACAGATCTACCAACGTGGTGTGGCAGGTTCGTATCAGGGCAGAGCAGCGTTGCCAACCCAACCCAAAATAAGGAGGTGTGGCAGGTCCTCCCAGAGTAGTGATGTAGCAGCTACGACAATGTATTCCGTGCAGTAAACTGAGCACATGGTAATCATCTTCGTGGCTTATGTGCTTTACTTTAACAATAAAACAGAGAAATATATATACACTCTGTATGGGTCTACTCTAATATGCGAGATGTTAACTCGCTTATCTCCTCGCCAGAGAACTGTTGGCCGGCCACGCTGGCTGACCTCTCAGGGGAGGTCTTTTCAAATTCAAAAATTCAATACATACAAAGTGTGATATAAACAGTGATGGATTTATAGATAGAGCTAGTACATACAATGCCTAAAGCCACTATTACGTAAAGCGTTTCGGGCAGTGTTCTCGTGTTCTGTAGCATCGCTGACTGACCCAGCACGGGCTTGGGACATCAGACGTGTATTAACCTGGTTGTGCTTGTGGGGGTTGAGCTCTGCTCTTTCGACCGGCCTCTCAACTGTCAATCAACTGTTATTAACTATTCATTTTTTCCACCTTCCCCCCCCCCCCAGGAAGCAGCCCTAACAGCTGTCTAACTCCCGGGGACCTATTTACTGCTAGATAACAGGGGCATCAGGGTGAAAAAACTCTGCCCATTTTGTTTCTGCCATCACCGAGGATCGAACCCGGACCCTAGGATTACGAGTTCAAAGCGCTGTCCACTCAGCTATCAGGCCCCTACGTGTGTATTGTAGGGTGGGGGGGTGTTGCCGGTCATAATGGCGCCCACAGAGACTGTCCAACATTTATGATAAGACTTCCAAGCGCAGATAAGGTAACTATCAGGAGAACGCGCTAAGCCAGTAGGAGTATAAAGCCCATGGAAGGACCATTAGGACAGGATAAGCGCTAGGCTTTGAGTATGGAGTGAAGAAACAGTACCCAACCACTTGAACTATCGGGATTCGAACGCCGACCCTGAAATAAACAATATCTGTTACAACAGATTATAGCTTACTATTCTATAGTTTAAGTCTTACCCCTTGTAAGGGCACTGGTTTACCTATCTCGATTACGTTCTCAGTTCTATAATTTTATAGAGGACCTGAGAAACAAGGCACAACTAAACTAAAATTTTCATAGGCCTAATATAGAACATATATATGTACTAAACAAAGTCAAATATTGCGTGTGGTAGGCCTAGGACAAGTTAGGCTAGGTTTTGGTTATTTTGTTTCACTTTTTGTTTGACGCTCTAAATTTCCAACAGTTGCAAAACATGAACATTTTATTGGGTACCACTTCATCTTTTGTACACTCCAACCACACTAACAATAGGTTCTTTATCACTTTATTTTGATGGATTTAACAAATTCCTAGTACTAGTAACAAAGAACAAACTCATAGTTTTTGTAAAAATATAAAATGGAAACTATAGACGTACGGCAGAAGGCAAAACCGAGGGAGATGCATACAGGTTACATCCCGCCAAACACACACCGAAACTACGACGTTGGTACAACGTTCGAAGAAGTTTTAACTCCTAACTAGTTATAACAATCAATATAGCAAGTTGTAACAACGCTCTAATACGTCATAAACACGTTAAGCCAAGATGTAACAACTTTATTACAAGTTGTAACAAGCGGAAAATAGACAGTTTCGGTTTGTGTTTCCAGGGATACAGGCGACATTAATCATATTTCTGTATTGTGTACGTTTTGTAACCCATACCCTGTGTTCCTTCTCCATGGTAGTGGCCGTCCCTGAAGCCAGACAAGAAAAGAACATAAAAACAACTATAATTGCAAGAAAACAACAAAATAACAAGCAATCATCCTTCGAGTGGACCTTGCCTGACCTGAGAGGCGCGTGCTCGGGCGGCCTTTAATGAGGATGAGAAGAGTAGGACCAGCTGGAGAGAGAGAGAGAGAGACCGGCTCATGTGTCCTGTCACGCCTTCAATAGCCTCGCGCAGGGAGGGGGGAATGTGGGATGGACAAGGTCTATTGTGGTCAAGGTATCCCTCCACCTTCACAACCACCATACCTCTGTTCCTCGTTAATCCCTTTACGCATACCTCTCCTGGAAGATTCTTAACAACCGTACGGGCTTTTTTTTTTCCTTCTCTGAATGCTAATACTTGGGATAACTGTTGAACGATAGGTTGATGATGTACTCACCAACCAGTGAATGATTTTTTAGTGTGTCACCGCTCCGGTCTCTAGTTAAATCTAGTCTAGATCCTGTCTAGTTACGCTATTTACATACAAAATAAAGGACGTCATAACCTAACTTAGCCTATTTTTTGCATTTGGTTCGATAACATTCTTAAAACATTTAAGTATGAAGGAAAAATAGACTAGATTACAACCCTACCAGATAACACAACTCGGCCTAACCTAATGAACCCCAACCCAAGCCAATCTAACGTAACTTAACCTAACTCAACTCAACCCAAGCCTAGTTTAACCCAACTCAACCTAGTTTGATTTAACCTAACCTAGTGTTACTAAACATAGCCTAATAGTGTGAATTAACCGTGAAAAACGAGAAGTATGACGGTGAACTATGACCGACCGGTTCTCGAATACCTTCAGAAAACAATAGTTGAAACCTGTCAAGAAATTTGACTCCTTGAGCCGTTGGTGGGTGTGCTCGAGGGAGGAATCCATTTCCCCCGTGTTGGCAGGTCCTATTTACACCAAAATATTTACACTTATGTCTGTCCAACCCATTTCCAAAATTGTATATATTCCCTTTATTGATGCCGTGCATTTCTTTGAACACTTGGGTCACAACCCTCTTCACTCTATACCTATTAAGAGAGAAGTTGACTTTAGTTGTAAGGAAAAATATCTGACACTGGGGATTAACTTTCTCATAGGTCTTTGTGTTTTCATGGTAATTTATGCTAATTCCGTATTATTGTGACCAAAACTGCGCCAAACAAAACCAGCGAGGGGCCCAACCAGGATAAGGTAACAATGTGTGTAGCCTAACGCTAATGTTTCTGTTATTAATGCGTGTAGATTGTAAGACTGATGTTGGCCTACACTCTCTTGGTGTAACTGTTGACCAGACCACACACTAGAAGTTGAAGGGACGACGACGTTTCGGTCTGTCCTGGACCATTCTCAAGTCGATTGGTGTAACTGCTTGTACTCGTGCAATGTACTTCTGGTTTCAGGTATTTATAAATAATTATTTTCAAGTCCTTTATGCAGAATGCGTTCCTTACGCTGGATATATATTATTTGTTATTGATCCGCTATAAATATATATAATTATAAATATTTTATAAATTAAATATTTTATATGTATCATATATATTATATATAATACTCATTTAGGGGATATAATACTATATTGATATACTTAACGTAATTACGTACAATTTGTCAAACTTTATTTTAAAATTTTTCCGACATAAAATGAACAAATATATTTGCGATGCTTTACACTAGAGACAATACTCCCTTACACTTACAATACTCCTTTAGGGAGCTGGTCGGCTGAGCGGACAGCACGCTGGACTTGTGATCCTGTGGTCCTGGGTTCGATCCCAGGCGCCGGCGAGAAACACTGGGCAGAGTTTCTTTCATCCTATGCCCCTGTTACCTAGCAGTAAAATAGGTACCTGGGTGTTAGTCAGCTGTCACGGGCTGCTTCCTGGGGTGGAAGCCTGGTCGAGGACCGGGCCGCGGGGACACTAAAGCCCGGAAATCATCTCAAGATAAGATACACATAATAAACCTATATGAAACTGTAATTGAAAGTTATAATTAATTAGTCACAGTAACTATTTGAACTTCCTAGTAACAAATAACTTATTAAACAAGAAAAAAAAAGTATTCTTCGTATACATAGATAAGATGTACGCGTCTGACATTAGTTAAAGGGCAATTTTGGACTTTAAAATATCACTTACCGGCATTTTAAAGTCAACACTGTTCGTGAGATATGCAGCTTGTAAAAAAACTTACTAACTCATTTAACCATATATAGCTATTGTTAAAGTCAAATTAGTCCTACTTTAATATTCCACCTTCATATTCCTGTATTTATAATTTTATGTAGACTGGTTTTTAATCGTTGTGTAAAACTAAGCACGCAGCCACCTATTGCCTCAATCGGCAATAAGCTGTGGAATACTTTACTTATCACAGGCGTCTAAAGTATTTATTTTTGTTAAGACACATGAGTAAAAAGTAGATATAGTAAAATATCAGATTTCATGGAGTTGAAGGAGTATGAGAGGAAGCGAGCGGCTGGCTGGCCCGTCGAGGTCTCTCCTCCACCAATCATCTCTCGCGCCAAACCTCAGCGGGCGGAGCTTACATGCATTCACTCGTTCCAGATATCTCCTCTCTATTCTATTAGAATTTATTACAAAAATATGAATTTGTTTCACGTTTCCTTGACTTGAACATTTGTAATATATTTATATGTATTTTATGTAGCGAAAAAATGAATGATTCAGTGTTAGTAATACTTGGTTGAGTGAAATATAGCTGACCGGTGATGCTAGCGACTGAGCCTCCTAGGAGCTGACGGCGGGAAGGGACGAAGTTGGAGCGTTTTCTTCAGTAATGACGGAAGGTCTGTGACGAGGGGTCTGTGACCGCTGTGCTTGAGACCTGAGTTGTGCTAGTGAGGACCACCTGTTGCTTTATGTTAGTGGAGTGTTGCAGTTCGTTGCACCTAATATATCCGTGATAACTATCCTCTATACCCACCTGGATAAGTTGCTCGAATCTTGTCGCTAGATAAAGAAGGTGAAGAAACAGTGATTAGTAAGAAGAGGCGAAGACAGCCTGCCAGTTCTTGGAAGATATTGTTAAGTTGGGGTGATTGGTGATGTGTCGCTTGGTGCTGTGCTAGTGACACCTCTCTTTGGAATACCACTACCACCACCACCGACACAACATGGCCACGCTCCTACTACTGCTAATAGGTGAGTTAACGTCTTGGTGTGTGGACCAACTTGCTAACTAACTACAGGGTAGTTAAGACGCTGGGTAAGGGTCTAATGACTACACTCAAGAGGTTTATACACTAAATGCTTAGCTTGTTAACCGGAGTTACTAGTCTTAGGTGCCAAGGTGCCACTGTAGGTGACCCCACCTGACCTGACCTGACCTGTGCCTTGGGGAGCAATATACGTCTCTGCATTGAACGAAATTTCGAAATTGTTAGCAATGGTTCATTAACTTTAATTTTAATTAGTTCATGACGGCATTTTCACCTTATAACATTGGCCAAGTCCAGTAGAACTACTCTTGGTGAAAAGGGGCGACTCTTGACCCCTTATCCATTAGGTACACTCAAGTGTACTTTTAAAAAAGTTAGTTTTACGTGTTTTATGAGAAGTTGGATTGTTTTAAACTGTTGCTGTATCTAGAGAACTAATCTTTGGCAGAAATGACGTTGAATCCTTTTAAAAGGTGTGACAAGGGTGTTGGGGTGAGTCAGCGCCTTACCTGTGTTGCAACTCCATGCTCACGCGCCTTCCTGGTAGTGTGCTCCCACATGCTCCGCCTCCGCCCACATGCTGCTGCTGCTCCTCCTCCACCCACATGTTGCTGCTGCTCCTCCACCCACATGCTGCTGCTCCTCCTCCGCCCACATGCTGCTGCTGCTGCTCCTCCTCCGCCCACATGCTGCTGCTGCTCCTCCTCCGCCCACATGCTGCTGCTGCTGCTGCTCCTCCTCCGCCCACATGCTGCTGCTGCTCCTCCGCCCACATGCTGCTGCTGCTGCTGCTCCTCCTCCGCCCACATGCTGCTGCTGCTCCTCCTCCGCCCACATGCTGCTGCTGCTCCTCCTCCGCCCACATGCTGCTGCTGCTGCTCCTCCTCCTCCGCCCACATGCTGCTGCTGCTCCTCCTCCGCCCACATGCTGCTGCTGCTGCTCCTCCTCCGCCCACATGCTGCTGCTGCTGCTCCTCCTCCGCCCACATGCTGCTGCTGCTGCTCCTCCTCCGCCCACATGCTGCTGCTGCTCCTCCTCCGCCCACATGCTGCTGCTGCTCCTCCTCCTCCGCCCACATGCTGCTGCTGCTGCTGCTCCTCCTCCGCCCACATGCTGCTGCTGCTGCTCCTCCTCCTCCGCCCACATGCTGCTGCTGCTCCTCCTCCTCCGCCCACATGCTGCTGCTGCTGCTCCGCCCACATGCTGCTGCTGCTGCTCCGCCCACATGCTGCTGCTGCTGCTCCGCCCACATGCTGCTGCTGCTCCTCCGCCCACATGCTGCTGCTGCTCCTCCGCCCACATGCTGCTGCTGCTCCTCCGCCCACATGCTGCTGCTGCTCCTCCGCCCACATGCTGCTGCTGCTCCTCCGCCCACATGCTGCTGATGCTCCTCCGCCCACATGCTGCTGCTGCTCCTCCTCCACCCACTTGCTGCTGCTCCTCCACCCACTTGCTGCTGCTGCTCCTCCTCCACCCACTTGCTGCTGCTGCTGCTCCTCCTCCACCCACTTGCTGCTGCTGCTGCTCCTCCTCCACCCACTTGCTGCTGCTGCTGCTCCTCCTCCACCCACTTGCTGCTGCTGCTGCTCCTCCTCCACCCACTTGCTGCTGCTGCTGCTCCTCCTCCACCCACTTGCTGCTGCTGCTGCTCCTCCTCCACCCACTTGCTGCTGCTGCTGCTCCTCCTCCACCCACTTGCTGCTGCTGCTGCTCCTCCTCCTCCCACTTGCTGCTGCTGCTGCTCCTCCTCCACCCACTTGCTGCTGCTCCTCCTCCACCCACTTGCTGCTGCTCCTCCTCCACCCACTTGCTGCTGCTCCTCCTCCACCCACTTGCTGCTGCTCCTCCTCCACCCACTTGCTGCTGCTGCTCCTCCACCCACTTGCTGCTGCTGCTCCTCCTCCTCCACCCACTTGCTGCTGCTGCTGCTGCTGCTGCTGCTGCTCCTCCACCCACTTGCTGCTGCTCCTCCTCCACCCACTTGCTGCTGCTCCTCCTCCACCCACTTGCTGCTGCTCCTCCTCCACCCACTTGCTGCTGCTGCTCCTCCACCCACTTGCTGCTGCTGCTCCTCCTCCTCCACCCACTTGCTGCTGCTGCTGCTGCTGCTGCTGCTGCTCCTCCACCCACTTGCTGCTGCTCCTCCTCCACCCACTTGCTGCTGCTCCTCCTCCACCCACTTGCTGCTGCTCCTCCTCCACCCACTTGCTGCTGCTGCTCCTCCACCCACTTGCTGCTGCTGCTCCTCCTCCTCCACCCACTTGCTGCTGCTGCTGCTGCTCCTCCACCCACTTGCTGCTGCTGCTCCTCCACCCACTTGCTGCTGCTCCTCCTCCACCCACTTGCTGCTGCTGCTGCTCCTCCTCCACCCACTTGCTCCTACGCCCACTTCTTTGGACAATTTTTTTCGGGCACTTTGTGGCTTGAGAGTATTAACCAAGTATTAACAAAGGGTTAAGGTCGGCTCTAATATTTGCTACATTAAATGAAGCCGTAAGTCATTGCCAAGTTGTGTAGGTTGCAATCTACTGGTAAGGCAATGTATAACAAATGTACTATATCAGTGTAATTCGTAAGTGGGCATGATGAGAAGCACACAATGTTCTGGCTGATGCATGTATCTCACGTGCTGTGGACTCTTGATTTACTTCTCTTAATTTTTAGGCGAGAACCGTGAGGTGCTCATACTGCCATGCTATTCTTTGCATATGTCTGCATTCATTTTTCGCCAACCAAGTAAGTAAGTAATTATCAAAAGAAGGCACCAAACCGGGAAGGCTATGTAGCGCCATCAAATACGCAAAATAATCAGAGGGCGCTAAATATCACCAAGGATTTCGCCAACCAAACTTCATATTAGATCAAGCTTCATTTTATTGCATAAAACAGTAGTCTGATTACAAAAATTAATTTAATGGAAACTTTCTAGTTTAGGGGCACTCTGTATTGGCCTAGAAACCTAAAATTTAGCAGTACACTTTTTTAACCTCGTTTTCTTTCAGCTTCCAATGGGAAGAAATTATCTGCATGTTATAGATTCAGCTACTTGGAACAAGTTCCAAGTAGCACGGGCTATGGTGAGCCCGTAACTTACCTGGCACAGGAGCGGCGCTCTATCTGCACGAGTAACTTCTGTATTTAAGTGATCAACCAACAGAATAATTTAAAGTTTGGTATAAAGTTTCCAAACTAAGGTTTTTAATATTAATAAACTGTTCCGTTGAGTTTAATTTGCTTGGTTTCAATAAAATACAATTTGGGTAAACGATACTACTAAGTATGTGGTATTGGCCTACGTTAAACTTGTTCTAAATTTTATGGTGGTGGGCGTGGAGATATGAACAAAGCGAAGTTACTCACTCTAGTATCCAAAAATGAGAGAGATTACATATGACATCAATTTTGCACATCTTTCCATGCTATATTTAAGAATGGGTCAGGATAGGGTGGGGTCGGGATAGTTTGAAGTGCTGTGAAGACTTAAAACGGCATAACCTTTGACCCCCCACACTTTATTTGCATAATTATAAAACGTGTAATAAATATCTTGACCCCTTTGAATGTCGTTGGCGTATAACGCCCCTTTCCCTCCCCCCAGTTGCTACTGATCCAATTACACTACGTGATATTTACTAGTTTGTACCATTGAAGTAGTGGATACGATTTGTTAAAATTAGGTTGAGGCATATGACTATAGGCATACTTAAGTTTTAAATCCCTTTAATAGTTTTAATTTGATGAACGGGTAAGTGTACACAGTACTTACCGGATTTTCTATTTTCATTTAAGTAGGCCTAACTTTCATGCTGTCACTAACCTAAAGAATAATTCTTACTTCTGGAGATTATCGCCTCTTATCATTCAAGACGTGCAGTTTGGTCACCATATGAAGCAAGTGTCAAATGAAATCTCGTGTAAGATTAAAGAAGTAGGCATGCATTACTTTTCCGAGCGCATCTGTTAAGGAATCAAAGTATACGTACCATATTGCGTAGGTATATCACTCGCCACTATATTGGCATATATCGTGGCACCGGTTTCGTATTGGCCACTTGTATTCACCTAGTTGTGCTTGGGGGGCATGAGCTCGACTCTTTCGGCCCGCGTCAACTGTCAATCAACTGTTATTAACTACTAATCCCCCCCCCCCACACACACATGGGTTCAGGGAGGGTAAATCTTGCCTTACAGGCTTGATAGAATTCTACGATCAGGTGACACAGATTAAGCAAGAAGGAGAGGGCTGGGCGGACTGCATTTTCTTGGATTGTCGGAAAGCCTTTGACACAGTACCGCATAAGAGGCTGGTACATAAGTTGGAGAGACAGGCAGGTGTAGCTGGTAAGGTGCTCCAGTGGATAAGGGAGTATCTAAGCAATAGGAAGCAGAGAGTTACGGTGAGGGGTGAGACCTCCGATTGGCGTGAAGTCACCAGTGGAGTCCCACAGGGCTCTGTACTTGGTCCTATCTTGTTTCTGATATATGTAAATGATCTCCCGGAGGGTATCGATTCATTTCTCTCAATGTTTGCGGACGATGCTAAAATTATGAGGATTAAAACAGAAGAGGACTGTTTGAGGCTTCAAGAAGACCTAGACAAGCTGAAGGAATGGTCGAACAAATGGTTGTTAGAGTTTAACCCAACCAAATGTAATGTAATGAAGATAGGTGTAGGGAGCAGGAGGCCAGATACAAGGTATCATCTGGGAGAGGAAATTCTTCAGGAGTCAAGAGAAGGAAAAAGACTTGGGTGTTGATATCACGCCAGACCTGTCTCCTGCAGCACATATCAAGCGGATAAAATCAGCAGCATATGCCAGGCTGGCCAGCATACGAACGGCATTCAGAAACTTGTGTAAAGAATCATTCAGAACTTTGTATACCACATATGTCAGGCCAATCCTGGAGTATGCAGCCCCAGCATGGAGTCCATATCTAGTCAAGGATAAGACTAAACTGGAAAAGGTTCAAAGGTTTGCCAT